AATATCTAAAGTTATTTATTTATTATTCTAGTGTTTCTCTTGTCCAAGATAATGCTAAAATGTTTCCAGATACTTTTCATAAATCTAGGTCACTGACTCCAGGAGCCTAGGGAAACACCCAACTCCAGTGTCTATGCAGGTTCTTTACAGAACTGGAATCAAGAAGCTGGGTGTCCTGGCTAATTTTATGCCAATTTGCCACAAGGTAGAATCATTTGGGAAAAACAGTTCCCAATTGCGAGTTAGAAGATTTACCTGTAGGCAAGCCTGTAGTGTATTTTCTTAATAAGTCATTGATGTGGAAGAGCTCAGGCTACTATGGGTGGTCCTGGGGTATAAAAGAAATCAGACTGGTTAACCCACTAGGAGCAAACCAGTAAATAACACTCCTCCTTGCCCTTTATGTCAGTTCCTCCTTCCAGATTTCTGCCCTGCCCTCCTTCAGTGATGGAATGAATGAATGAATGAATGAATGAATGAATGAATCCTTTCTTCCCCAAACTGCGAATGCTCATGGTATTCTAATAGAACAATGTTAACCCTAACTAAGACACTAGGTATGGACTACTGAGATGCACGAAAGATGGGGTGAGATAGCGGAGCTCTCTGAGAGAGAAACTGGGCGATGTGGAAAAGATAGAGGAACAGCCAGGGTTTGGGCGATGGAGCATCCATGCTTCTTGGCACCGTGTATCATCTTCAGTCCATGATAGATTTGCTCTTTGGATGCTGTTTCTCACTCTGTCACTGATCACTTTCAGGGAAACACCTGCTGCTCTTGAGCTTCCTATATAATACCTGGTACTCTCGCTTTGCCTTCCTGTCTTCCTGTGCCCTTCTCTTTGGGGTGGCTTCTTTCTCAAAGCCACAGGTTGAGGGTTATTGTTTTGTTTTGTCAAGAAGCAATCTCTTTTTGACTTGAGGACATGGTATTGCATAGATTGTTTTCTGATTTTTTTAAAAAGTATATATTTTATTTTGGAAAAAAAAAAACTATGTCTACACCAAATGTCATGATGATACACCAAGGAATCAAGGTCTTGTGGACATCATGGGCTGTGCCCGTATGAGCTCACAGAGTCTGTGGCAGCATGCACAGGGTGTGCACTCTTTATTTAATGAACTCAATGGCATCATTGGACGTTCTGCATCTCATAACTGTAAGCTGGGACTTTTTGTTTCCTTATAAGTAAGTCCTTTTTATAGATATTATGGCTTCTGGTTTTGTATTTTTATGGGATTCCTGTATATGTGAACATGTGTGCCTCTGCCTCTAAATGTGTTTCTTGTGTTTTCTTTGGACTCTTTTCCTTGTTTGGGTGTTTTTGTCTTACTCTGGCTTGTTTGTTTTTGTTTTATCTTATTTTGTTATTAGAAGCTTGTTTGTTTTCTAAGAGAGACAGGAAGGGTGTGAATATGGATGGGAGGGGACATGGAGCAGAACTTAGAATGGGGAAAACATAACCGGAATATATTGTATAGAAAAACCTATTTTTAACTAAAAAAAATTCACCAAATGTGAAATAATTTTTCTTTTGTACACCGTGAAGATGTATCATTCTGATTGGTTTAATAAAAAGCTGAATGTCCAATAGCTAGGCAGGATTTCCAGGCAGAGAGGACGTTGGGAGAAGGAGGTGGAGATGCCAAGAGATGCAGAGCAAGCAGGATGGGAAGTATGGAGGACATAATAAAGCCACGAGGCAGAAGGTAAATGGACAGAAATGGGTTAATTTAGGTTATAATAGCTTGGTATAAATGAGCCTAAGCTAAGGCTGAGCTTTCATAATTAATATTTAGTCTCCATGTCATTCCTGGGGAGCTGACAGTTCCAACAAAAAAATCCAACTACAATACTGAAAGTCATTTTCCAAATGTGATCCTTGAGTTAGCTGCCATACGGTTGTGGTAGCACTGTCGGTCACTCAAAAGTCTCTCAGCTTGGTAGAACCCCAGAGTGCTCTCAAGAAAGCTCTAGCAATGGAAACACTGATACACTGATTCAAACATCAAATAACAATCAGGAGATGGAAGAAAAGTAATAGCCAGATTGATAAACAAGACACACAATCAGGTAAAGAAGTCACTGGCTCTGCAAAGCAGGGGCACGTGCCCCTTTCTTTGACGTGTGTCCCGGGAGGGAGAGGATTTATTGGTACCACAGTTCAAGTCACATCTAGTTCCGCTGCCAACGCCTCCTTGTGACAGTAGCTGGTGGGTGAGTTCAGCTTTCCTCTGTGCCCACCTTTTAAGAATTAACTTATTCTCAGTGGAGCACCAGACGTCCTTGGTCAATAGCCCCCGATCTGTGGCCACATTGTCTACATTTAAATGCCATTTTTATTCCTGGTGGGACATATGATGATGGGCAAGTGTGTCACTTGTCTAAGCGTTTTTCCTTCCCCGTTAGGAGTAACAGACACTTTGTATTCTCTGGTGAGAATTCAGTAAAACGAAGCTTACAAACGCTGTACTTGTGTTCTCCATAAAGACAGCTTTCACAGATATGATCTCCCACGAGGCCTCTAGTTAGCATGTGGGCTCTGGAACTCGGCAGGAGTTATGGTGCCAGGTCCACAGTATCCACGCCAGGTTTAGGAATGTGCCTTCATTGATCCATCTGTCTGAATACCCCATAGTCTCCCCTGGCAATAGCACGGCTCTGCTCCCTCCTGCTCATACTTCCACACAACACAGATTCCACGGGCTGCACACCTGACTCTGTGGTTTCCCCTGGAACTGCATTCTTATGGGGATAAATTACGGGATCCACCCACCAGCAATCTGTTACTGCGGCACAGGGGTACACTCCATTTCAATATCTGGCAGACTGTGAGCTTCAACCCTCAAGTCTCAATGGTCACTGTGAAACTATATTTGCCTAGCTGAAAAAAAATCTTTACACAAAATTTACTGTCCACTATTTAGCCAGCCTTATGCATGTGTGACTACACACCAGCTCAGTCCTTTCCCAAATGGTCATCCCCCTGCTCAATGCTCTGCTCCTCTGATTTCATTATTTTTTTTAATAAACCTCACCCAACTTCTCACCATTCACATTTTCTTCATTATAATCTGGAGGTTTTTCTCTCTCCTTAATGTCAGTTTAAATTTCTACTGGGCAAACAGACTCACTTCTGAGTCATTGAGCCTCCAAAGGTTTCCAAGGTAGATTGCACCCTATAAAGACCACATTTATGACAATATAGGGCCATCAATGGCCCATGTGTCTCATCCTGTGAGCTTCAGGCCATCACTTTAGAGCAGAAGGATCACAGAATTGGGGGCTTATGTGGGACTAGTAGGACACACAGGGACCCTAGGCCTTAAGAGTTTTAGAAACAGAATCATTTAAACATTCCAAGCTTCCCACATAGCCTAACCTACATGTTTACCTACTAGGCCAAAGCAAAAGAGGTGTGTTTTGGATCACCTCCTCCACCCCTTTGGTGCAAATTACACTAAAGTAGAAAGAGAAGACCTCGTCCCCATCAGCATTACCTAGTAGAGAAGGCCTCTCAATGGTCACAAGTCCAGACATTCAAGAAAGCACAGAGAAGGTTCTGAAAGACTAGGAATACTGGAACAGATCTAGAGAATAGGTACTCGGGCAAAGGATGGTGCTAGAGAAAGGTAGGGCAATGAAAAGAGAGGGCATTGCAAAAAAAGGTGGGGTAATAGAGAGGGGTGGGGGTACTGGAAGAGTTCGGTGATGAAATGGGATGGGGTGGTAGAGGGGCAGAATGAGGGATGGTGGTGAGGTGATGGAGGCATGGGATGATGGAGGGAGGTGGAGGGACAGAGGAATAGGATGGTAGGAGATGAAGGGAGATGAGGTACTGGAAGGCTAGGGTGATGGAGAAAGACGGGGTGCCAGACATAGGTGTGGTAACAGAAGGATGGGGCGATGGAGGGTTGAAGTAATGGAGTGAGGTCGGGTACAGGAAGGATGGGATGATGAAGGGTATGGGATGATGACATAGGCGGGATACTAGAGGGTTGGGATGATGGAGGGAGGTAGGATACTGGAGAGAGGTGGAGTACTGGAGAGATGAGGGGACAGAAGGACCTGCGATACGGGAGGTATGTAGTATACTGGAGGTTTCAGGAGAGTACCGGGTGGAGGTCAGATACTAGGGACAGCCAGGAAGTGGGAAGAAAGTACTATAGATGTGTATATTTTAGTGACGATACAGAAATGGGTTGGAGAAGCTTGGAGTTGCGGGCATCTCTGAACTGCACAGTCAAAGCTTTGTCCACATCTGTGCAGAGAAATCCAGTGGAAGCAGCATCCTCCCTGCTCCCTTTAAAGTCATCAAAGAATAACATCGGAAAAACAAAGCCAAGATATTACACACATGCACCACTTTAAACAGCCCACGGTACTTCCTAGGTTTAAGTGACCAACTTCATGGTGGAATTGTAAGCTACTGAAAACGCGAACTGTGTATTCTTTTTTGGACACTCATATTTCTATTTGCTACATCTGTGAAGGTCTTTTAGGGTCATATAGTCCCAGACCTCTACATGAGAGCAAGTTTTATTTAAAGGCTTTATTTTTATTTTTCCTTGGGTGTACATGTGTGTCTGTGAGTGGGTGTGTGGATCTGAGTACAGGGCCTTCAGCAGTCAGAAGAAATCCCATGGAGCAGTAGTTACAGGTGGTTGTGAGCCACTCAACCTAAGCTCTGGGAGCTGAACCTGGGTCTCCTGCAAGAGCAATAAGCACTCTTAGCCACGGAGTCAGCCTTCCAGCCCCTCTGCAAAATGGACTATACACCACAGAATATAAAATATGGCCATGTTTTATTTTTCAGACTAGATAAAAAAAGAACCTTCAGACATCCTGAGATACAGAAAAGAACAGGTAACTATAATGTTGGTCAGATTCACCAAAGTTGTCAGAACCTTAACAACCAGAAGCCCTGGACTTCCCACCTTGTGATCCATTTTCAAGGTGTATTTGAGTTATACCACTTGGGAACTTACGAGTAGCTTACCCAGACACCTCGTTTCCGATCCACTCCAGAGACCATTGGCCAAGCACTCCCGGACATGGGAGCCCACGAGTGTGTAGCCGGTGTTGCAGGTGAAGATGGCGGTGGCTCCGTACACAGTGAGTGTCCCTATCTTGTTACCATTGGGGGGAAAGGACAGGCTTCCACAGGAGATGACTGGAAGAGAAAAACTGTATTAGTCCAAGTCTGGGTTTACAGGAGAAACCATGGGTGCTGGTTTCCATAAGAAGCACATGGCAGGGAGATCTAGTTTGCTAGGGCTTCACCAGTCAGCCGTCTCTGTTGGATTTTCCTTCTCTATTGCTTTTAACACAAAAGAAGTTTTACCATATTCTGAAGCCATCAAAGTCCCCACAGTGGTCCATTGCTTTTTCATTCTTACAGATTGACAACCCTTTCTTCAAAATCCACAGTTTGCAATGTAAGGACCCATAAGCATATCTACCAAACACGCTACCTGTCTGCTTTTTCTACCCACATCGATCCAAACAGTGATGTGATTGTGACGACACACATGACTGCCAGGAACACGAGAAGTGTTTTCACCAAAGGCCAACAGCCCAAATGAAGCATAGTGGGTTAAAACTTTTATCTTTAACCTAGCGCCAAGGTCATTTTTCTTCCAGTTATTTGTGTGATTTGTTTCAACGACAAGCACTGTAAAATTGCTGACTACGCAGGGCACAAGGAACCTTCTAGGTAATTATCAACGGTACACACATCTGTGTGGACACAGGCAGGGTAGTTGTAAACCCTAAGGGTATCCTTGCTGCCCGGATAATGATGGAGCACAGCTGTTGTGACCCCAAATTAGTCCATTTGGGGATGTAAATTAATGATCACCCAGAGTAGAAATATTAATCACACCCACATGTTCACATCTCATATGCATCAATATTTGAGGGAAAAAAACTACTGAATCTCACGGCAAGAGAAAATGTTCCCAAACCTTGAAGGATGATTGAGTACCAGAGGCTCAGAAGTATTTCAACAAGAATGGAAGTCTTAGAAAAGATAACCAAGGAGAATGTTCAGATCACTCAGAAAGCTGTGACATGCTCTGTGCTTAAGACCATGCCAGTAAGCAGCAAAAGAGAGTTCTCATCCATAGTAAGATGAGATGAGTAAGGCAAGAGATGGGGAGAAAAACGCCATCATAAAGTAGGTTCATTGCTCAGTTGGTAAGAGTGGCCAGTCTACTAATATTCTCTGGTGTCTGATGGGGCTGAGGACAGTGAAAGTCTACGCTGATGATCATTTAGGGAATGGAGTCAACAGTATGAATATCATGGCGGTCGGTGTCTCAGTCAATTTTCTCATGACTGTGACATAATACTTTAGAGAAGCGACTTAAAGGAAAGAGCTTGCAATTTCATGGTGGGAAACCCATGGTGGTTTAGAGCAGAAGAGACCGCTCCCATGGGTATGTCAGGAGCCTGAGGCTGTGCTGTAACAAACAAAGCCTGCCTGACGATCAGAGTGTGGGGAGAGCCACTAGTTAGTCTTAGAGGCCAGGCTGCGGTGGTACACACCTTTAATCTCAGCACTTGGGAGGCAGAGACAGAGACAGAGGGATCTCTGTGAGTTCAAGGCCACCCTGGACCACACTAAATTGATTCAGTCTTAAAGAGGAACAGTGCCAGGCAGTAGTGGCTCACACATCTTTAATCCCAGCACTAGGGAGGTGGAAACAGGAAAGGATGTGGCTAAGCCAAAAAAGGAACCTAAGTTGGAAGGAGACAGGAGCTCAGTGAATTCGGTCTGAAGACTTGTAATGACAGGATACCCCATTCAGTCTGAGGGTTTTGTAAAGGTAAGAGCTGGTGGTTGGCTGGTGTGCTTCTCTGATCTTTCTACTCCTACTCCCTAATATCTGACTCTGGGTTTTTAATATTAAGACCAATTAGAAACTGCACTGCATGAGGCATCTTGCTCACCTCTCCCAGTCAACAAAGAAGCAGAAAGACATGTGAGCCTTCCAGGCTTGACTCCCCAGTGACCCATTTCCTCCAAAAGGCGCCACCTCCCAAAGTCTATACAACCTCCCAACCAGCTTCACCAGGGTACTCAGTGTTCAAATAGAAGTCTATAAGTACATCTCACATTTAAACCATAACAGATTGGACCCCACAAGGCCAGCACATTGACGACTTGGACCCCAGCCAGAGACTCCAAGAATTGATGTGTGATCAGATCATGGGTATTTCGATCTCATCATGGAATTTTATTAAAAGTCATAATTCACTGCTGAGAGGTGGCAGAGACCATGGAAATGAAGGTCTGGTTGGAGGGGGGGCTTTAAAAGGCTTGTCAATATTCAGGACCCTCCTGCTTTCCGGCTACCTCCGGTGAACAGCTCTGTTCTTCTCTTCTGCTCAGTCAGTCCAGCTTCATTACAGTTCAGAAATGAAGAAACACAGGCACCTAAGCCACAGGCCCGCGGGAACCTCTGCAACTGTGACCCATTTGAAACTGTCTCTTTTCTCAACTGTTTTTCTCATCCTGGTCAGGCGACTCTCGTCTATAGTCCCACCCATCGTTTGGGGCCCCATGAAGTACCAACAAGCCTGGGCTCCTAGATGAGATCCTGTCTCAGATTATAAAATGAAATCAGATCATTTACAAACCATGGGTATTTGTCATGGTGATGAAAAAAAATTCTAATACAGAATCTTACAGATAATCAATCAGGGGACGTAAACTTGTATGAATGCACCACTGAAATACTACCCCTCCCCCCAACACCGTTAGTTAAGCTTCTCTCAGTCCAAGGTGTGACTCCCATTCAATTTCAGGTGAGCAGGCAGACTTGCAAGCTAGATATGATCTATAGGGGTCACGCGCCAGAAATCGGGAGTCTACCTCTGGAGAACAGCTTGCTGAGAGAGCCTTCACGGTCCTCGGTATCTGAGACGGCTAAGCGAAACCTTCACAGCAGCAAGTGCGCGCTTTCAATAATTTGCTAGCATGTACCGTACCAAATGTCAATGGATTCAAGAGGGATTTAGGTTTTTATAATTTGCCATGAACTTTTCTCTAAGCCTTTTCCCAAACAAAGTGTGAACCTTACCTTGAACTGTGATATTTAGCAATTCATGTTGAAACTTCAGTGCTTATTACAGATGCGCTCAACGACAAGGCTGGACCAGTCTCCTAGCCGAGAGCTCCGCATAGCTTTAGCGGTGGGGCAGGGAGAAAACCCACGCTGGATTCTATCCTCCCAGCCTTGGCTGGCACGCCCTGGTGAGGAGACTATTTAAAGTCTGTCCTCTAATGAGGCTCATTAAATCACAAGGAACTAAGGGAGCAACAGCTGGGCTTCTGGGAAGCTGAAGAACGGGATTCTGAGCTGCGAGTTTCCTTTGGATGCCAACCCTACTCATTATTGATGGTGGTAGAGCAGCTTGGAAAAAAACGTAATTGGGAGAGCCCGGCACCACTAAAAATAGTCTCGTCACAGAGCAAGAAAAAAGCCTATCTCCGTGCTGGCCTTCCTTCTAGTCTCCAAAAATGGACTCATTAGCTTTGTGTCTGTCCCTACCACTGGACATATGTCCACACTCACCAACCACAGCACTCTCAGAACTCACGGGGGTCTGCACAGGTCAGGTGCTAAGCTGCGTGCTCCCTGTTAATGCTGTCTTTCTACTACAGCCATGGGTGACACTGGCTCCCCACTCCCCACAGGCAAGCTTCTTTTTCCTCTCTACAAGAATTCATAGGGAAATGTACTTTGAAGGAGGAGCCTGGTGGCATGTGTTTTATCCTACTATGAGGCCAGCATCCCTGCCAGCAGCGCGAGTACTTAGACAAGCTCAAATGTTGATACTTCCCACAGCTGTAGTCAATAATGACTACACACATGATTGCATGTAGCTCACAGTGACCGGGAACAGTCACAAGCACTGCGCTCAGCTGTCAGTGAGAAGAGGCAGCGCTTGCTTGGAGACAGGGAGATGGTTGTTTGTAAACACACAAAGCTGTGATGCTGGGTGACAGCCTGCGTCACTCTGGGAGGTCTTGGGCCCTACCACTATGATCTAACACTGCCTGTTAAGTCTGAAGGCCTCATCCAAAATGAGGATGCTCACGATGGAATTGGACTGCCCATATCCCAGGAAGCAGACCCTGGAGCTACAGATGTGTCTCTCAAGTTCAGGGCCATGATGCACAATGTCTAATAATAGATGGAGTAACGGTACCACTCAGGCAGACGGGCAGAATGGCTATGTGGATTCCTGTGGCTGGACCTTGCCAGGGGCTGAGCTGTCAGTTCACACAGGTCTCTGGTTAGCAGCGGGAACCCAGAGAAGCCATGCAGAACCTCAACTTGGCCAAGGTCAGCTTTCAGAGAAGCCATAATGAGTAGTTAGGAACTGGGAGGCAGTCTAGAACACGGGTGATGCTCTCTATATTCTGTTTTAAATATCCAGTTTGGCTTTTTGAGCACACACACACACACACACACACACACACACACACACACACACACATATACACACACACACATTTTAAAGTGTAAAGACTTCTGAATCATGCATCTCCACAATAAACATGTTTTTTACTTTTAAAAATAAACAAGAAGAGTGAGAAAAAAGAATGTTGGCTTCCTTGTGAAGGAGGGAAAACTCCAGTGGGAAGATCGCCTGGGCTATAGAGGACTTAGGACCACTTGGAGTGAGAAGGTGAACTCCATGAAGCTGGGGAACTCAGCTGATCTCGGGGTGCTGTGGATGTGCTTGGGGGTGGCCAAGAGTCTTTTCTCCTTCCTGGGTTAAGGAACAGCAAATAAGGAAACATCATCCAGGCTCCCGAGAAGACACATAATGGAAAGTAGAAGGTTCCCTTCTCATCTCACAGCCTGGCCATTTTGAGATAAGCCACAGGTAACTGAAGCCTGATAAATTACAGCTCCATTGCTATGCCCATGGTTTCCATGACAACACACTGGGCGATGCTGTTGATTCAGTCTCAGTACCAAATGGAAACAATGGTTTCTTCTATAGGGAAGCAGCCACAGACTGGCAAATTGGGCTTAGGAAAATGTGTCATTTTAAAGATTTTTAATGAAGAAACGAAATGGTGTTTGAACTTCCTGGAGTTTTTATGTACACATTTGAAAGAAAAGTATATCAGAATCAGCATTGATCTTGTGTTTCTTCTGGGTCTATGTGGGTAAAATAGGGACTATAGGAAATAAAGAGAATTTAAGTTACAGTCAGTGGCAACTTCATAAGAAATGGGAAACCAACACATCCAGTGATTTCTCTAGGTTCCAGAAAATGAACATCATAAGGTCCTATTTTTTTTTTCATCCCCTTCCCTTTTGGAGGGATAAGACCTAGGTGGTTTGTAGTCCTCAACAACCACTGACTGTTTGTTCTGAGAGTTTAGAACGGCTTTTGAGTGAGGAGACGGTGGTCAGACTTGGTCCCCAAAATTTGTTATAAAGAGAAGTAATGTTAGATACTGAACTAAAGCTGGCTGCTGGCAACAGCCAGTGACACGGATAGCCATGAGGACACAAGGATGCAGATGTGGAAGAGAAACCCGAGAAGAGAATTTGAGTGTGTCCGTCTCTGTTCCTGCATCTCTGCCACTGGACCTTTGAGCCCAGGGCTCCAGGAGGCCCTAGCATCCCTCCAGAGTCCACAGACATCCCTCTGTCCAGCTGCTAGACTGCTAACTGCCTGGGTTTTGTATACTGCCACTAAAACTGTATACTTAGAGAAGTTCAGACCAGGCTTCGAGAACCCAGCCATACCCATGCAGCATGTCACAAGGAAACTCAAAAGGACACTCTTAGAAATATCATTTTGCTAGAAAACAAATCCCTATCGTTCATAAAAAACCACATGCTATTTATATTAGCATGGAAGGGACTTGCTATCATTTTATATAAATTAATGCGTATTTATATCTTCTCAACTTTCAGGAAAATTGTTAAATATTTTTAAAGCTTTAGCAGCTTCAATTTATAATATAGGAAAGGATAAACTCCTAGAAATCCTGAAGTTTTCTTCCCTGGCTGCAGACATCCCACGCAATCTCCAGGGCTTCCTTCGTTCAGACAGAGCCATGGCCAGTTTATGAGTCAGTTCATCTTCAGTTACAAGGGTGAAATTGACAGGGTGAGGCTATTCTGGTGATGAGGTGAGCCTTTAAAGAGGCCACATGGCTCCTGTCTTCTGAGAGATGGAAACCATTAAGTGTGAGAGGGTGAAGGACACACGTTAGAAACTGAAAGTGGATCCCATTACCTGAGACACGGCCATAATCACAAGGACGTTTATTTTGCCCGTGAGTGTGAACAGACAGCTGGGTTTGACCAGGCAGCTTCAGGTACACACAGCACTCCAGCAGCACCACAATGGCAGCTCTGGGAGGTACCAGGCAGAGGAAAGACATAGACACCATAGCTTCATCTAATGTTATGTGCTAAACCTGTGAGCCCATCCTGTGTTGCATACAGAACCTGTGGGCCCATTCAATATCAAACAGAGACACTATGTACCAATCCAATGGCATAGAAAGTACTTGTGGGCCCATCTAATATTACACGTAGAACCCATGGGTTCATCCAATGTCATTCTGAGACCCTCTCTGCCCATTCAATGTCATGCAGAATCTGTGAGCCCATCCAATGTCAGACAAAGAACTCCTCTGTGTCACATGGACCTACTGCACTGGGGATAACTGCTCGGCAACAGATACTGCACCTCAGGAAGAACCGACTGCACTGTAACCCTGACAACAGCTTTCGAAGTTGGGTACCTTTTCCACACAGTCGGAAGACACTGGAGGATATTCTGAACTCCTGGGCTCTGGTGTCATTTTCAAAGGATTAGCAATAGCAAACAAGGTCTAGAATGCTAGACGATACCATAACCTGTCACAACGAGTCATGGGTGTCTGCTCTGATCCATTGATGTTTCCAAAAAGAAGGAATTTCCAAAAATTTGCAAGTTCTTTTGCGAATGCAAAAGAAATTTTCCAAAATAGATAGAGAGAAATTTGATAATAACTGTGGTACTTTTAATGAGAGTAGCCTCCACAGGCTCATAGACTTGACTACTTGGTCCCCAGTTGGTGAAACTGTTTGGGAAGGTTTGGAAGGTATGACCTGGAGAAGGTGTGTCACTAGGGTGGGCTTTGAGGTCTCAGTAGCACATGCTCTTCCCAGTTAGCTCTCTGCCTCCAACTTGACAGTCATGATGTGAGCTCTAGCTGCTGAACCAGCACCATGCTTTTGCTTCATAGTCACAGACAGGAACCCGCCAAAACCATAACCCTGATGAAGCTTCTTTTATAAGTTGCCTTGATCACAGTAATTTGTCACAGCAATAGAAAAGTCACTAAGACACTAACAGTGTCTACCTTTTTAGGTAAGTGAAAAACTTTCAGCTGGGTCACCAGGGGAAGGACACGGCTCCCTGGGAACTCTCCCTTCCTGGATGATGCTTTGTCTTCTTCCCACACAGATTCCAAAGCATGCTCCCAGGGCACTTTGGATCCCTGAATGACATCTGGGTAAACACTCTGTTGTGTGGAGCTGTGGGCCGCTTCCCTGCCATCCCAGCTCCCGGCTGCCAGCTAGCTCTAGCTTATGCCCCGAAATAATTACACGGAAACTGTATTCTTTTAAACACTGCCTGGCCCATTAGTTCCAGCCTCTTATTGGCTAGCTCTTACATATTGACCTAACCCATTTCTGATAATCTGTGTAGCCCACGAGCTGGCTTACCAGGAAAGATCTTAACCTGTGTCTGCCTGGAGTGGGAGAATCATGGCTACTCCCTGACTCAGCTTCTTTCTCCCAGCATTCTGTTCTGTTTACTCCGCTCACTTAATTTTCTGTTTTATTAAAGGGCCAAGGCAGTCTCTTTATTTAACCAATGACCTTCCTCCATCAACACTCTGTCTTTAGAAGACAGCAAGGGTTTCAGAGATGTGTGAGAGATAATATAGAGACATCACCAGTGGCCTGTTCTGGCTAAGACGACGTCAACTTGAAATTCAGTCATGAATAGAGAAAACCAAAGCAAACCAAGGTTTCAGGTGGATTCTCCTAATTCTAGAAAATGCTGCACATCGATGGTAGTGTGCAAAGGAGACACATTGCAGTGTGTGACACAGGGCTCATGTCCAGTCATGTGGGGCAGCGAGTAGTTACCAGTGTGCACAAAGTGTTTGTGTCTGATGGGAAGTGATGACAATGGATGGATGTGTGGCTCCTAGCAGAGGCCAGATGGCATTGAAGAGCAAGGGCACTATGTGTGTTAGGACAGCTAATTTCCAGAACCTCGGGGTAAAACCAGAAGCACAGTGCCAGGGCATCAGGACCTGCTGAGGGGCACCTGCTGCTTCTAGGTGTGGTTCAAGCCTCCTGAGAGCTCCAAGTTTGTAAAAATTTACTTGTAGGAGTAAAGTATTCTAGAAAGGCAGTTTCAGGCAGTGGCATCAAGTTGACCCTGTCTATCAAGATCCTGTCACAGGCAGACAGAGACACAGCCAACATCCTTAGCTGGAATCAAGTGCATGGGAGTGTATGTAGGGCCTGCTGCACCTTCAAGAACCTTCTGCGAACCCCTCAAGGGGGCTAAAATGTCAGAGTCTCCATGATATTCTCATCCCCTCCTGACAGCCCCAATTCTGCACCCCCAAATCACAAAATGGCTCAAAGGAGCTGGGGGATGTGGGTGAGTGGCGTGAGTGTGGGGAGAATGTGGAAGGATTATGGCAGGGGAAACTAACTGTTGGCTCCTGGCCAGGCATTGGTCACCTAAATGAAGAAGCCATCAGAGCCACCAGGAGCCATCAAAGTCCAACTGTGATGGTGCTTTGGGAAAGGTGTCTTGAATGTCCCAGGCCACTGTTCTTCCTTACTTATCTCTGGGATCCTGAGAGGAGTTTGTATTACATGAAGCATTAGCATCTGTTATATTAAAAGTTTAATTAAAATTATTATGTAAAGCAGCTAAATACACACATTCTTTTGTTTCTCTCCTTTTTAGTCTACTGCCATTCATCCCAAGTTGTGTACTGCATAGATCTCACACAGGCCAACTGCTTGTTTCAAAGTCTGACAATTTCCTGTGTATAATTAGTTCAGATTGGCTCTCAGAGATGTACAAATCCGACAGCGCTCTGAACAATGTCAGCTCTGTCTTATTTCCTATTTATCCACAGTTTACTGTTCATCGTGTACCTGAGAGTACAATAATCTCCCCTTCAAGACAACTGAGGAGGACGGGTATCTTCAGCATACAAAACTACAGAAGAAGAATAGTTAGCTCTTTAAACATGGGCTTTAATTGTCTTCAAGCGCAAATGTGAAATATGTGATGATTTTAATATTCTGAAGTTTATAAAATACTGTCATTAATAAAGGAGCACAGGGTTGGTTATCTGATCCTGTAGCACCTGTCTGAGCGCATCATGCTAACACACAGGCTCTACTTTAGTCAGTAGGGCTATGATGGCGTCCTCACAGGTGAAGCCATTGCTGCTGTGACCTGAAGTTATGTAACCCTGTTTGTGGCAGGGTTTGCCGTCACTCACCTTTGCATCTGGGTCGGTCTTCCTCTGTGTTCCAGGTCCCATTGGCTTGGCACTGCAAGAGCCTCTGACCCTGCAAGAAGTAGCCAGGGCTGCAGCTGAGGAGAACCTGAGCTCCGTATTCGTTCAGTGACCCCGACACCAGCCTCCAGAGCACATGCTCTGACAGCTGGCCTTCGATGCTGGGGCAGGGTACCGCTGTGAGAAAAACACCCGAGCATCAGTACGGCTTCCTGACAGACAGCCCTTGCCATAACCGCTTCTAGAAGGTAGTGGCTGCAGGTCTATGGAACTCCCTGTGGTGTGGAACCTGGATGCCCTCAACCCTTGTTTCAGGATGTCTCTGTTTTCCACATAATCACATGGGAGGTAGCCCAATCCCAGCCTGTGTGTTACTGTCTCATTACAGATGTGAAGGGGATCTTACTGTTGGACTATGCTACAACAGTAGGAAGTCATTCCTTTTCTGTACAACACATACATGCACACCCATCCCCTCATTCACACATGGGTACATGAGAACACATCTGCCTTCATACATGTATACTTATACATGCCTTCACACATGTATACTTATACATACATGCACACACATGTTCAAAACCACTTGCAAATTCAAATGTACATGCACAAATATACACAGGAATATATGCACACACTATAGCTGCTTTTACTAGATTTACAGGCACACAAAAATAGGCACACTGCATTATCATTGTAGAAAAAATAACCTAGCATCACAATTTAAGGGAAAGACTTCCCATGATGCAAGGCCAAGAAGACAAGTTCCTGAGTGCAGAGCTATGGAAACAGTTGTAGTAACAGTAGTGTGGGCTCAGATGCAGCCCCAGGATAGTAGACTTTAGAGAACTTACAGATAGACTGAAATATGTGAAATTTGGAGACTATGGGAGTAGAGATTTGTTTAGGAAAAGTACGATAGGATTTTAAATGAACTTCACAAGTTAAAAGCAAGAACCAGCCAGGTGTGGTAACCCATATCTTTAATCCCAGCACTGCAGAAGCAGAGACAGATAGATCTCTGTGAGTTCAAGGATGACCTGGTCTACAAAGAGAGTTCCAGGACAACCAGGCCTGTTGACTGAAACCCTGTCTTGGAAAACCATAGCATTAATCGCAAAGGTTTCTTTGTTGACATCTGTCACTATCAGCTGGCTCCCAGCACAACTTATGGGGCCATATCGGTCAGCCTTGAGTCCAAAAACAATAGCTGATGTTTTTCTAGAGTAACAACGATAAATGCATTTTGCTTTTAAGTTTTGTTTACATTCATTAAAATTGAATCTGCTGTGTGAGATGCTACAAAGTCTCTCCTTTCTCTGGCAACTTCTAGCCCTATCTTCAAATAAACTACAAAGAGTAGGTGCCTAATGTAAGAATAAAAGCAATGAGGTTAAAAAAATATAAAGGAGTATTTGGTAATTAAAAGCCATTCTTAAGCTTATGTCTCTGTATTTTTGGATGTGGCAACTATTCTGCATGACCATGGAGGATACAGAAATGGTTTGCTTAGCAGTAGATATATCTTTCTGCAGCTAGGATATGTCTAGCTTTTTAGGCAAGACAACCATCTCCATAAAGCCTTTGGCCATATGAACCCTGAACTCAGCTGGAATGTGACAAAGGCTTTCCCTTCGCCAGTGTGTGCTTCTGGAGCTAACTCGTATATTCTAATCATCTGCTCTATCCCTCATAAGCTCTGCTTCTGCCTAGGGTGGAAAGGAGTTTTCATGGCTAATTCCATCCTCACTGACAGCAACCCGACAGTCCACGGCTTCCTTGTTTCTTCATGAAAACAGTATTTGGCTTGCTTTTTTTTTTTTTTGAGGTCAGTGGGGCCCTGGTGAGGAGGCGTGAAGAGTAGAGTCTGGAGAGATGTTTTTTAATTGTCTTCTAGCTTGTTTGGGTCTCTTGCTCACTCTCTACTTGGCAACAAGCGTTTATTTTAAACTGTAACCACTATATCTTTTCATAGTTTTCCAGCTAAGTCAAGTATAGGTCACACTTAGCTACAGTTGTCTGAGTGTGCATGCGTGCATGTGCACAGTCTGCAAAGGAACTTGCCACAAAAACAGAATAGCAAAGATATCTACTGAACCACACCTGTGAAAACTGAAGATATATTTCTCCTTTCTCAGAGGCAATTCCCACTGAGACCACACACAGCCGTGCATAGCATCCTATGTATATGATAGCCAAATGCAATCTATAAACACTGCATGGAAGCCATCAATAATGATTCTCTCTAATAAATGCATAAAACAATTAAACAACATATTGTAGGGAGTCAACAGACCAGCCTCCGTAGAGAAGAGTCACACAAAGGCTAACACTCTGGGGCTGAAATGGACCATGATCCTGACACCACAGAGGGTCCCAGATGAGCGGCAAGGGTCTCCTGGGAGAAAAACTGAAGTCTGGGGTGGGCATGAACTGCAAAGTCCATCCTGTCTTTCGATTGATGAAAGAACACATGTTTTCAGAAACAGGTTCCTACCAGTTTTTGATTTATTTGCTTATTTATTTGTGTGTGTGTGTGTGTGTGTGTGTGTGTGTGTGTGTGTGAAGCTGGAGTTACAGCTGGTTGTGAGTCAACCCACCTGGGTGCTGAGAACTGAATTTGGGTCTTCTGAAAGAGCAGCGTGTGTTCTTAACTTCTGAACTATTTCTCCTGTCCTTGGCTGTCAACTTTATGGAGAGAGATTCTGGTTTCTTGAGCCAGGGAAAAGCAGCAAGGCAAGCTGTTCTTTCCTGGGGCACTCATGCTATAGTGAGTCTGCCACCAGGAATATAAAGCATTCGCTCTGGTAGCTACAGGCCCTTCTCATGAATCTTCCCTGTTTGTCTAATCAGCCCCGAAGTGTGGAATATAATTGTCTTTTTATTTTCTTTTAACAGAGTTTCCCCGCCTCATACTCATGTGGGTAAGTACTTCTTATTACCATGTTTAGTTGGAGCACATTTAATTAGATTTGTAAAATTATGATTAGATACCTTCAGAGTGAAATAATTTAATCATCCCCGTCTTCACACTCACAGCTAAAGTGGCGTCTTTACAGACCGCCGGCAGCCTCAGCTGATGGGAGTGAGGGAGATGGGCTGAACCGTGAAACTTTAGAAGCCTAGACAACAAGACCATCAGCTCAGCAAATAGTGAATTGACTGAAGCTATGATGTCCTTTTAAGTTCTGTTTCTTGTAGTTGATTTGGGTAATTTTCAGTGAGAACATTTCCCCAGGACTGGTGGATGTGGATTTAGGCGGAGGTACCTTCTCTGGGCCTTTTGTAGTCTTTGTGTTTTATGACAAGACCTTGGTACATGGACTTTTTTTCACTGATTGTGTGTCTGATATGCAATCCCAGGCTGCCCCTGTTGAGCCCAGGCTCAGTTTTGCTGTTTTCCAAGCTTGGATGCTTTCAGATCAAATGTGACAAGTTGGTAGGTTGCTCCTTTGGGTGTTCAGTGTCGACTTTGGGGTGGAGAAATTGGGGTGAGGATTCCAGTGGGTGGCAAGCAAGACGCTGATCTTCGTGGAAGAGAGCACAGGTACCTTTGCAGTGGCGCTTTAATTTTTGCTCACCGTCGGTCTAGTTTATAAGGATTCAGGTTTAAATGTCCTGCACGTAGTTCCCGAGATTAGCTCTTCAGACTGATGTTAAATAAGTGTGTTTTAAAAACATTACTTTTGCTCCTACTAAACCATGTCAGCCCAGGGCAAACACCAATAACTGAGTCTAAAATAGCCTGCAGTCTGTTTGGGTTATGATGACAGAGTCTCCCTGGGTTTCAGTTCTCAGGTGCACAAGCTACTGGTGTCACAGTACATACTCCGGAAAGCCCCTCAGGAGGGTTGGGTCCTCAGAGGAGCCCCAAGGCCCTAGAGGCCTATGTTTCCCTTCTCCTCCCAGCACTGTGCTAGAAGGTTGCTGAAAAGAATTAATTGGGAGCGGGGATGGAGTGGGGTGTTTTCATGTTCTGTATGGTTGCTGTCAGAATTTGACTGTCCTAGGAGGCTTTCTGCCTCTCCGTCTCCTGCTTCAAAGTGATAGGCAGGACAATGACCATTGGGACAGCTGTTGCCTGATGCCCAGAAGTCTTCCCCTAGTCTCGTCTCCTGGTACCTCCTTGTCTCCTGCCCAATGACTTCCCACAGTGTGAAGGCAGCCAAGTTCTTTGTCAAAGTGTAACTGGACGTATTCTTTGTGTGTAGAACTGTTGCTGCTTTTTATAGGATTTCGACTGTTTATAGGAAAAGGGAACCGTAAGGTGATAAGCAGTCCAGTGGGCAGACATTTTTAACACAAACAGCTTTTTGAAAAAGACTGATTCATTATTATAGGTGTATTTTCTGTGTGCCCCCCCCCCTCTCTCTCTCTGTGTGTGTGTGTGTGTGTGTGTGTGTGTGTGTGTAGGAGCCATTGGAGGCCAGAAGAGGGTGTTGGATCCCCAGTAGATGGGGTAACAGACGGCTGTGAGCCTCCGGATATGACTTCACCTTGCTTTTCTGTCCTAACGAAGGATTTGCATTCATTTAATCGTGAAACATTCTGATGCTCTGCTGGGTATGGTGGTGTATACTTTTTATCCCAACATTTAGAAGAGGCAGATGTATCTTTATGAGTTTAACTTCAGCTTGGTCTACATAGTGAGTTCCAGGTTAGCTGGGGCTATAAAAGTGATAACCTAGCTGAGAAATAAAGGGGGGCGGGGAGAGTTTGGTGTTTTGCACACAGTAGGTCTTCATGAATAATTAATAATTAATGTGACTCATGAACAGCATCAACTGAGAAAGCGCCCACAAACTGGCACTGCAGATTAGACAAGTGTTTGCGGAGATGGCTGGCTTAACGCCCTCGCCTCCTTCCCAACACATGGCGCACAGTGCAAATCCATCCATCATTTTGCCAAACTATCAAGCCCTGCACATTAGTATCACTGGCCCTGACTGGGTATATGGTAGCACCAGCATGGGTCTTATCTTCCAACAGCCAGATCCAGGCTCAGTAAAGACTTGAAATGGAAACATGACTCAGAATGTACCTAGGAGATCTGTACAGTTACAGGGCGACACGGATAGAAACTGCTGTTTATTCTAGTCTTAAACCGAGCCAGCCTCGAGGTGGAACACAGTGGGGGTGTTTACTGTTCATCTCTAGTATCGATCAGATTGGAAGCCTTTCTCTTTTACTTTATTTTTTTGAAGATTTATGTATTTATGCTTTATTTGTATGACTGTTTTGCCTACACATATATGTAGTACTTGAAGAGGTCAGAAGAAGGCCTTGGATCCCCTGGAACTGTGAGCTTCCATGCGGGTGCTGGGATTCGAATCCGATCCTCTGGAAGAGCAACCAGTGCTCTTAACCTCCGTGACATTTCTCTGGCCCCTGTTTATTTTATTTTTGAGACAGGGTCTGACTGAGCAGCCCGGGTTGGCCTTAGTTCACAGAGAGCCATATGCCTCTATCTTTCAGGTTCTGGGATGAAACGTGTTCTTTACCATACCTGGTAGAGATGCGTATCACCTGGTACTTCACCTACCAATTCTGCAAGTTACTACAATTGTTAAGGAAACTTAAAAACTCCTTTGATCCCACACAGATACAATGGGATTAGTTTGAAAAATATATAGGACTGTATATATATGTATGTATATATATGTACATATATGTGTGTATATGTGTATACACATATGGATATACATAGATACACAATTGTTACCAAAATTTAGCACTCATTGCTTTTTCTGACTAAGGATAAAGTTTTGTATTTAGCATGCCTGCTTTCTTCAGTTGTCATTAAGTGTAGGAAACCACCCCCAACCAAAGTTAAAATGGGTTTTCCTCACACTCAGCTCTGCCTACCATGACTTCATTTAACATTGACTAACTCTGTCCCCTGCTAGTGAAAGGGACACTTTAATCTGCACTGCAGCACCGAGCAGTGTGTCCTACATAGATCCTGGATGCCCCAACTGGGACAGCACCTTCATTTCCCATGGGTTTAAGCAACTGGGCTATAAAATGATGTCATATTTAACGGAAAATAACCAAGAAAAATCAGTAGTTTACAAATATAACCAACTAACTGAGAACATGGACCTAAAATCACAAATGAAAGCAAGGAAAATACAAGCTGTGGTGAGCTGTTAATTACTTTCCATAAGCTTTGCAAAGAGTTTAAAATTTTAACATAACCAACTTATACAAAAAAGAAAAAAGCAAACTAATTGTATAATCAAAGGTCAAGGAAACCTTTGTTATTGAAATATCATCAAAAGAAAACTAACATTTCTATTTCTAAGTTTTGAAACACTGGAAGGGCATATTAATTTAAAGTCAAGATTTTCAATATGTCTGTGACAAAATTCTTATTGTATAAATTATGTTTGCATGTACACGTGCATGTGTATACACGTGTTTGTTCATGTGTATACGTATGTGTGCACATGTGTGTGAGCATGTGCTTGGAACTTCTAGGGTTGGCTTCTCAGCATGACTTGTGTGCTTGTTAAGACTATGTTTTACATCAGATTTAAACTTTTCATGCTTGAACCTTTTTCCTTTTCAAAATATTATTTTTTAAATTAAATATAATTACACCATTCCCTCTCCCCTTTATTCTCTCATGTTTGACTCTTGTAAGAACATTACCGTGCACTGAAAATGGCTTTCTAGAAGTCTGACTGCACTTTACAGATGAATTGGTGTTTTTCCTGGCAGCCAGTGATGTGTATGAGAAGTCCGTGGCATAGACACGAATCAAGCATCAGCTCTAACTTTGAAACACTCAAGCATCACATGAGAAATGGTGAGAACAACTCACGCTGCTTTACGTTACACACTTTATGCTCAGTGTTGTGCTCACACTCATTAGCTTCTACTCATACTGCAAATGGCGCCAGCGTAAGGTTTGTTGGGGTGAGTTTGGTGATATAGCTTGTCATGGAATTTACTGGGATTTACCGGGCTAACAACCAGAAATACACAATCCATTTTAAGTGACTGGAGTGGTCTCTATGGCAGTTGCTTGTGTTGTGAAGATGAAAGGGACCAGGTCGTCACAATACTGGGAAGTGTCTACCTGCATTCTGGAAGTCAAATTCACCCCTGCTCCCAGTGACTGCAGTGGACAGAACACTTACGTCTGCACGTGGGTGGCCTCCCTCTGTTGCTCCACAGGCCATCCTCCTGACACACAGCAGTGGCTTGCTGACTGGCATCCAGCTTGAAGCCTTCATTACATTCGTATGTCACTTTACTGTCCAAAGTGAACTCATTGCCCGTGAATGAGCCGTTTCCTGGAGCCTCTGGAATTCCACAGGACACCGCTGAAGAAATAAGGAAGAAAGCCATGCTGATTCTTAAAGAACTTCATTAAATTTTACCTTGTTTTTTTTTTATCTCAAAGACAAATTTATTAATTATGTTCTTCAGTTTTGTCAAAGGTACGTGCATTTTCAGAATTTTAAGGATGCAAAGTGTTCAAGAGAAGCACTGGAAAGCTTATCAAAATGGAGAAAAGAGGTTCCATGTAAAACACTGTATCAAAGGGATACTAGAGGTTCCAGGTGATAACTCTTGGGTATAGGTTAGTAATAGCCCGACTGCTTTGTTGTGTGTTCAAGTAGCAATCACACACGCTACCTTGGGTGACTTTGGTCAGGAGGATGAAGGGTTGGCCGCTTCCTTATCATCAGAACAATGACTCTGAATATCAAGACCCCCAAGAATTGGTCACGAGTGCACAGTATCCACCTCCCTTTTGTCTCAACCTTTCCCTACTCATTTTCTTCAACTCATTAGAAGTTCTTTTTAAAGGATGCTGTGCTTTATCTGACATGCCTTTCACCTGATTCTGTGTTGGGAAATGTAGTTTCAATTGTGTAAACAAGTGTGCAATCTTTAAGAGGTAAGGGCCTCTGGAGGTTCTCATTCTGAAAGCAATTGCATTCTCCCGAGACCCAGGATAGTTCTCAAAGAGCTAACAAAACTGTTGAAAGAACAAGTCAGAGCTGAGTGTAGTGGCACACACCTCTAATCCTAGCACTGGGGAGGCAGAGGTAGGTGGGTCTCTGAGTTCAAGACTAACCTGGTCTACAGAGTGAGTTCCAGGATAGCCAAGGCAACAAAGAAAAACCCTTTCTTGAAAAACCAATAAAAACCAAAAGAAAAGAAAAGAAAAGAAAAGAAAAGAAAAGAAAGAGTCCAAGTTCACTGGCCTCTTGACTCAACATGTGATCACTTTCTCTCAAGCAAGGTCCTACATGATGCTTCCTGATATGTAGGAGCCCCTCACCACCGATGACACCACACCTCTGGGACTGTGAGCCGGTTAGACCTCTTTTCTCATAAATTTCTTAGCACTGGCGATTTTGTTATATGAATACAAAGGAGGCTGGTATAAATGTAAACAGATTTCCTATGATCACCAGGGCTTCTAACAGCATGAGAGCTAACATCTTCTGAATTACCCAGAAAGACCAAATTAACTAAGTAGTCCTCTGACCAACGCGCATGTGCACATCTCTCTCTCTCTCTCTCTCTCTCTCTCTCTCTCTCTCTCTCTCTCACACACACACACACATTGCTGAATAGTTATTTTTAGATCTGAAACTTTTAGAAAACACAAGCTCTGAAACTTTTTCATGTGTTGGCTTTTATTTTTGACAACTTCACACAAGAGCACAGTATGTTAGATGTTCACCCCATTATACTCTCATCACCCCCTAATCCTACTGAAACTCTTCACAAACAGCCTCGCTTTCTTCTCCTTCTTTGTCATGGACCACTGATTTTCCCTGGGGTTGGCATATGTGCAGGTGAGGGGATGGTCACTGGCAAGGCAACCTGCCATGGGCTACACCACTGAGTAAAATCCCTCCTTTTGTCTCAGCAGCCTATCAATAGTCTTGCAGGAAAGACTGGAGTATCATCAGCTCCTCTCCCATCCATTGTGGAATATACTGAAGGACCCACTCTTGTGTAGGTTGTTCTGGAAGCCATAGCTGCTGTATGTTCACGGGGTTTGCCATCTCTGAGGACCTCTGCCCCCCACCTATAACTTTTACGCTCTTTATGCTTTCTGTTTCATGATTTTAACCACCTGAAGTATCTGTCTCTTGTGTAATACAATATTAACACGTGGTGGGATATTAAAAACAAACACCATACTTATGTGTCACCATCACTTTGGGAAAGGTGTTCAAATAAAGAATAATTCAAGTGTTTCCATAGCACTGTTCTTTCAAGAGAACCTATCGACAGACAGGTTATCAACCGGAAGACCAAGGGGCCTTTGAAAAATGGCCATCTTTAAGGAATCTAGGAAATGTCATGGATTTTGTTCTTTTTAAAATTCTCTTTACCCACCCACTGAGACAGTGGGGCTGATCTATTGGGAGCTCACCAAGGCCAGCTGGACTGTGACTGAAAAAGCATGGGATAAAACCGGACTCTCTGATCATGGCGAACAATAAGGACTGATGAGAAGCCAAGGTCAATGGCAAGGGGTTTTGATCCTACTTCATGATCCGGCTTGGTGGGAGCCTAGCCAGTTTGTATGTTCACCTTCCTAGACATGGACGGAGGGGGGAGGACCTTGGACTTTCCACAGGGCAGGGAACCATGACTGCTCTTTGGATTGGAGAGGGAGGGGGAGAGGAGTGGGGGGAGAGGGAGAAGAGTGGGGGGAGGGGGAGGGAAATGGGAGGCTGGGAGGAGGCGGAAACTTTTTTTTTCCTATTCTCAATAAAAAAAAAAGTGAAAAAAATTCTCTTTATACCCTATTATATTGTCATGTATTTGTCCCCACAATATACCTCTATTTCTCTCAGACGACCATGTATCTATCCTTCGAATCCTAACTTGCCCTCCACTTCACTCCACGCACTGTGCCCAGCCTTCGCTTCCCTTACGATTCTTACTTGTGTGCAAGCATGGGATGAAATGTCGTCTCCAGCAGGTTAAATGGGAAAAGTGAACATCCCACAAGCTCACAGGAAATGCTTCCCATTAATGGGGTTCTTACCCAGGGGGCCAAGACCAACAGGCTCACAGACGATTCTGTTCAATCCAAAATCTTTCAACTAAAAGTGAACTCTGCTTAGGAGGCCTCTGGAGAATCTGCCCTACGTAGTCTTTACGGTAATGAGCGGTCTGCTCTGGGATGTGGACTGTAGTTTCTATCCCTAGGAGAGTGTTCATTAAAGGTGCTGGAGTGAGGGGCACTTCTGATGCTCACAGCCTTCGGTGATTTTTAACTCTGTTCAACCCATGGGATTTTATGGCTGTTACTCTGAACTTAAGCCAGTATCATTTTCCATATTTAAGCCATGAGTTAAGAATAAATGTTCCTGCTCTATAGCTCTTTTGAAAATACCTACCATGGATTTAAAAAACCAAGTGCTGGGTTTGAAGAACCTAAATTTACTGAAATGAACATCAGGGAAGACTTGACGGTGGATTTCTCAGAATCCTCCTGTCAGCATCGACAGAAGTGAGACAGACCTGCTCCCAAAATTCAGAGGAAGGAAGTCTAACCCGGAACATTCCCAGAGCCAGTAATGTCCTTAGTCCCACTGTGTCTCTGAACGTCCAGAGATGAGACACTCCAGTGGTACTAGCCACAGGCTCAGAAAGTTGTATGAATGAAGAGGGTTTTAGATGTCACATTATTATATATCAACACCGTTATTTTTACCAAGAGTGTATTGGGCATCCCCTGATAAAGACCTTAGGAGAGTGGAAATGTACATTATCTCATTCAACACTTACCACATACTGAGAGTTAGAGTCAAACTCTACTGTGCATTACTCCTGGGGAGCAGAGAAGATAGAGATATTGTGCTCTTACTCAAATTCTTTTGTCATTGTTAAGATTTCTTTCTCTTTTTTAATTTTATGTGCACATATGTCTGAGCACCATGTATGTACCTGTTAGTCATGGAGGCAAGAAGAGGGTGTGAGGTCTCCTCACATTGGACTTATTGATAGTTGTGAGCTGCCATGTGGGTGAAGGAGACTAAACCTGTGTTCTCTGAATGAACAGCTAGTATCTTAACCACTGAGCCATCTCTCCAGCCTCCCTTACCTGAATTCTTACCACCCATTCAAACCTGTGACAGTGTTCCGATCTCAGGGAGTGATGCCTCTTGCTTTTGGACCCCAGAATGCTAACCCAGGATGTTCAGGTTTATTTACCTGTCTAATATTCAGACAGCAGGAGTCCATCAGTCAATTGACTGACAGGTTAAAAATAAGTTTTCACAGTGCAATTCTAAAAACAAAGCACAACAGAGCACTTGTGCTAATATTCCAGAGGCTCTTTTGCCCATTCTCCTCTCTATGTGAGATTTCTCAAGTCTCCTCCTTTGGTAATTAGTGATGAATCACCCTTTTACTTAAACCTTTACTGCATCTCAGTGCAATCAATACCAATGGAGTGTGAGGCCACAAAGGAAAACCACAGCAGGTGAAGAGGACACGAAGAAGCCCCCGAGGCTGGTGCTAGCCTAGTGCTGGGCAGTGCTTCTGCTCACTTGCCACCACAGCATGACACCAGGAATCTGCAAGAACACAGGCTAGCCTGGGCAATGCCCTTCCGTTTGCTATAATGGCTGACGGTAGCTTCTGAGAGCAAGGACAGATGGAGGGAACCAAGAGCTGGGCTTGAAGAACCTAGATTAAGCAGATGAACAGTTTAAAGTCACGGGCTGTGCAAAATGGTCAACTGTACAGGAGGATAGAACAGAGTGCCACTGAGAAGCCACTCAGCTGTTTCCAGCCTCTTAAAAACATTTAGCACAAGGTATCTCAAAGACAGAAGGAAAACAAACAGACACCAACAAAAAACCTCATAAATGTGCCCCTTTAGTGCCTTCTTACAAATGACTAGAGACATTTGTTCTCTGCCTGCACATATGTCTGTGCACCCAGGTGTGTGCCTGCTCCCTTAGAGGCCAGAAGAGGGCATCAGATTCAATAGAACTGAAGTTCCAGAAAGTTATATGCTATCATGTGGGTGCAGGGAATTGAATCCCTGAGACCTTTGGAAGAGTCAATTAACTCCAAGTGCTCTTAACTGCCGAGCTATCTCTCCAGCCCCACTGAACACAATTTTAAGATAATCAGCTTTGAAAGACATAATAAATTCTCAAAACCACTGGCCTTGATATGTGTCTACATCTTAATGAAATAACCGTTATGAAATATAACATGGACATAAGCATGACTCCAAAATTTGGAAGGCTGTTGTGCCTATGAACTAGGAAAGACGCACGTAGAAAGGCTGTTGTGCCTATGAACTAAGAAAGACGCACGTAGAAAGGCT